ACACCTTTGGGATGAATTAGAGCGGAGACTGCGAGCCAGGCCTTCTCGTCCAACATCAGTACCTGACCTCACAAATGCGCTTCTGGAAGAATGGTCAAACATTCCCATAGACACATTCCTAAACCTTGTGGAAAGCCTTCCCAGAAGAGTTGAAGCTGTTATATCTGCAAAGGGTGGGCCAACTCAATATTGAACCCTACGGACTGAGACTAGGATGCCATGAAAGTTCATGCGTATGTAATGGCAGGCGTCCCAATATTTTTTGTGTGTTATGATGTAAAAAAAAAAAAAAACTTGAGTATTGCAGTGTGCAATGATACCTTTCTTATTGGACTAACAAAATATATAAAAGACAAGCTTTCGAGAGTTGACCTCTCCTTCAGGTGTGAAGCAATACCAGTATTGCTTCTGACCTGAAGAAGAGAGATCAACTCTCGAAAGCTTGTCTTTTATATATTATGTTAGTCCAATTGCACACTGCAATACTCCGTTTTTGTTTTTTCACATCTTGTCTACTGGACTAATACGGCTTTCCCATTTACATTACACTATCTATCCTATCGAGACACACACACACACACACTATAATTTTGCCTGAAGTTGCTAGTGGGCCAGACCATTATAAATAGGGAAGCAGTTTGTTTACCACGACAGTAGAAGTGATTTTTTTTTTTTCTAAAGATATGGGTATACCAACGCGATTTATCAGCCTTTGAACGTGGGATGATTGTTGGCGCGAGCCATAGAGCGAGTATCAGCAAAACAGCAGAATTCGTTAAATGTTCAATAGGGGCTCATTGTTAAAGTGTGTAAAGACTGGACTGTCAGCCGAAAATCTGGGTCTGAGCGTGCGAATTGTGGCCGTCAGCGACTAGTCAATGTTAGGGCAGAACGGAGAGTGGCAAGACTGGCACAAGACAACAGAAGGGCAACAGTGCATCAAATTACTGCAGATCTTAATCGGGGATCCTCTCAAATGATCTCTGAACGCACTGTTCGCCGTACACTGCATCGTATGGGATATGGAAGCCAAAGGCCTGTTCGAACACCGTTGCTGTCTGCAGTTAACAAGATAAACGTCTCCAATTCGCACAGGAACACACGGATTGGACAGTCGAGCATTGGAAAAAAGTCAGATGAATCACATTTCCAGTTGCATCATGCAGATGACTAAGTGAGAATTTGGCGGAAACCGCATGAAAGCATGCACCCCACATGCATGAGTACAACCCTTCAAGCTGGTGGGGGCAGTGTTATGGTTTCGGGCATGTTTTCCTGGCATTATTTGGGCCCTTTAACCCCTTTGTGACTGACGACGTACAGTGTACGTCGCCAGCATCGGGGCTGTTTAAACAGTCTCCCGGCGACTTTTGCCGCCGGGACTCTGTTTAAACTTGTAGAGCCGACTGTCGGCTTTACAACAGAAGCGATCCTGGCGACTTACCTGTCGCCAGATCGCTTCTGCGTCCCGAAGAAGGGGCCCCCCCCCCCGCCGGACACCCCCGCCGTGCTTCCCGGGCTCCGTTGCCCCTCCTACGGGCCCGGGACCGGCGATCTTTGTGTCCGCGGGGAGCTGGGGAGGAGGTCGACGAACTTCCGTTCATCGATCCCCTCCCCGTTCTATGGGACCGGGAGCGATGCAGATTGCATCACTTCCGGTCCCTGGGCTGTCAGTTCTGGGCTCCTGCAGCCCAGCTATAAGCTATTGAAGTGCGATCTGCACTTCAATAGCTTATTTCCAGTGTAAAGGTGACACTGAGGGTCTTTTGGACCCCCAGCATCACCTTAAAGAGGACCTGTCACCACCATCTGCTATTACATGGGGGGGCTTGCAAGCCCCCCCATGTGAAAGCAGTCAAAGTAAAGTAAAAAAAACTGTTTTTAAAATTAAAATCAAATAAATCTAATAATAAAACTTTTTTAAAAGGCCCCCGCGTCGCCACGTAAACACGTGTCGGGTGCGCCTACGTATGAAAACGACGAACGCGCTACACATGTTGGGTATCGCCGCGCACGCCGGAGTGAGAGCAATAATTCTAGGGCCAGTATTTTGGGGTATCTCTAAATTGATGACCTGTGGGGGCTTTTAAAGCGTCTTCTGTGGACTTTTTGGGGTACTGCAGTTTTTCGCCGTTTCACGGACGCACGCAATTTGTAAACTGGGCATGTTGGGTATCGTTTTACTCGTTGTAACCTCATCTTTTATATTACATTTAAAAATGGGTATTTTGTTGCGTTTTGGGGCATTTTATTAAATGTATCACAAAATTTTGGGGTTTAATAAGGAGTTGCGCTAATATTGCGCAACATAAAAATTTGCATCTACCACCATTATATTGTGTAGGCTCTTGGCATTCAGAAAATATATAATGTGTGGGGGTTTTAAGTAATTTTCAGGCCTAAAATGTGGAATATAACATGGGTGCAAAAAATGAATATATATAAGGGCTGGGGAAATTGACGATTAATTCCTCCATTAATTGTTTAAACTTTTTGATCGATTTTTAAAATTCTTTTGATCGAAAATGAAAAGACTCGCCTCTCAGCTGGCTTCCGGGAGACCCGTCGGAGATCCGGTGACGTCACCGGACTACTCCACCCTTCCCTTCGTTAGCCGACTGAGCCACATGGGCCGGTGAGTTGGCCCAAGAAGCACCAAGCTTCTGTCTTATCTTAAACTTATATATATGCACTGTGTGGCTCTCCATTAACACCTTCCCCCCCATCTCGCTCCAAGAAATGTGCCCGTTGAAATTGACTGATATTATGTTGCAATCAAGTCCTTAGATGGAATGGACAGGTGCTGCTACTTAAAATATTAAGCTAGTATTTATGTTTAAATCACCCTTAGGGCTTTGCTGTTTTACTATACTATTTAAATACATTTGTAATCCAGCACGTTATCATTCTGAGTTGCCCCACTTAAGTGGCGGCCATATTGAGGTGGGGCACGTGAGATTAATGTGCTGGATTAGTGTGATCCTAGTTCATTTTATTACTTCATTGCTGTGCTGTATGTGTATAGGCCAATGTAGTTAGATCTGTATGTGCGTTTATAATCAAGTAAAATGTTTTTTGATTTAATCAAACACGAAAATTGTAATTATTACTTATATATAATTATGGAGCACTGAACAGACCGAAGGTTTTGTCACAGCTCCTGTACAGAAGCTGTGACAGAAGCTGCAGTTAGTGACCGCTGAGACAGGTGGCGCAGCGCCACAGTCTTGGTGATCACACAGAGCAGACGAAGAACTTCCGTTCTTCGTCTGCTCAAAGGGCTCTATGGTGCTCTCGATCGCCGCCGCTCGGTTTTAATACGAGTGATCACTCGTATTAAACGAGCAGTGGCTCCTACTGTACATTTAGCTCTGCTTTAGCAGGGCTAAATGTACATAAAACTACACCCGTTGCCCGAAACTGCATGTGTAGGGCGATAGGGATGCGCTCCATAAGACGCACACACATTTCTCCCCGTATTTTGGGGGGGAAAAACTGCGTCTTTATGGAGCGAAAAATACGGTATATATTTATTTTCTTTGTTCAGCCCCCAAGTTTAAGAAGAAAATACAAGCGTGTATATCTGGTTTAGTGTGTGGCTAGTTTAGAGCTGCAGCTAACGATTATTTTCAAAATCAAATCGGTTAGTTAGCCGATTATTAAGTTCGATTAATCGGATAAACAATAAAATAAATTTTAAAAAATGGCTCCAGTAATGGACTACTAGTTTGTATTGAGATTGTAGTCCATCAAAGGAGCCAGCTTTGGAGCAGTGGAAGTAAAAAAAAAAGTGTGCTGTGCAATATAGTGAAATGGAAAGTTTTAAATTATACAGCAATCAATGCAGAATGGCACCGGCTATAGAGGACTACAAATCACAGCAATAGTACATTATACAGGTGAAACTCGAATAATTAGAATATCGTGCAAAAGTAATGGCAGTAAGTGCTGCAAAAGGGGCCCAAACCAAGTACTGAGTACATATGCATGCTTATACTTTTCAGAGGTCCGATATTGTTCTATGTACAATCCTTGTTTTATTGATTGCATGTAATAATCTACTTTTTTGAGGTTGTGGATTTGGGGTTTTCATGAGCTGTAAGGCATAATCATCACAATTATGACAAATCACGGCTTGAACTATCTTGCTTTGCATGTAATGAGTCTATCTCGTATATTAGTTTCACCTTTTAGTTGCATTAGTGAAATGAACTTTGTACGATATTCTAATTATTCGAGTTTCACCTGTA